TCTATTTTCCCCCCTAACAGCTCAATTTCATGGAAATGTGTCCATACCCATCCTGATTCCTGTGCTTACACAGATCCAACAGCATCAACACAACTCTGCGAATCCTCCCACTCCAGACCTGCCTTCTCCATGCCATGAGCTGTTCGGGGACTTGGCAGGTTCCAGGATCATTGCATGGAATCCTTGAATATCCCAGCTTGGAATGGACCCTCAGGGATCCCTGGCCCTGCTCAGACCCCCCACCAAGCCCACCCTGAGCATCCCTGAGAGCGCTGTCCAAACGCTCCTGGAGCTCTGGCAGCCTTGGGGCCGGGCCCATTCCCTGGGGAGCCTGGGCAGTGCCAGCAGCCTCGGGGGGAAGAACCTTGCCCTGAGATCCATCCCAAGCCCTGGCACAGCTCCATGCCATTTTTGGCATGAGGGTTTGCACCTATTGAGAAGTTTCTCCTCCAGGGACAGACACAGGAAATCCAAGTCTGAGCTTGAGACATCCCCCCTGCCCTTTGCCCCCTCATTTCCCAAAATATTTAACATAGTAAGTTGAAACAATTAAAAATAATGGGGGTTCCATAACTTGAGACAGGTACAACCCCTCCTCTCTGAGCTCCTTTTGCTCCCAGATTATGGAGGAAACTCAGGCATGACCAACACTGGCTCTGGTAACTCCACAAGGTCACCTTGAGTAACCCAAGAGGATTGCAAAGGTACCTGAACAGCTCCTCAGGGATGTCCTTGCTGCAGTTCCAACACCAAATACACTCCTGGCCACTGCAGGCCACCACATCACCAGCTCTGAAGCCACTGACAAGTCCTGTACGTGGGCTTTCAAAAACCCCTCAGGAACTGCACTCCCAACTGCCATTTTTGTCTCTCTGCTCTCTCAGTCCTTCTGGGAAATTTCTACATCAAGTCAAACAACACCCAGGGAAACTGCCAGTTGTTATTTTAAGCACTTTGGCAAACCTGGTTTGTAGATGTTGTGCCTCTGATCTGTTCCATTTTCAGAAGAACTAGCTCACACTTTCTTCTGAGTCTTAATTCCAACACATGACACCAAGTGGCCTTTGGGGTTTTTTTAACCTGAGCAATTAGCAGTTTTTAAAGAGACTTGTGTCTCCCATTAACAGAGGAAATGAGTCTACAAACCAGGGAAGATGTTCAGCACAACTCTATTTCTTTACCAAAACATGACCATGCAGAAGAACCAACTTCACTAAACACAAGAGGAAAGAGAAGGGTGCCATGGGTCCATGTGCTTCCCCATTTCCCAGCAGAAGTCACTCCCAAATATTTGTACCACCTGTTACCATTTGGTGTCTGACACCAGCTGTGGCTGCCCCTGGATCCCTGGCAGTGCCCAAGGCCAGGCTGGACGGGGCTTGGAGCAGCCTGGGATAGTGGAAGGTGTCCCTGCCATGGCAGGGGTGGAACTGGATGAGCTTTAATGCTTTTTCCAACTCAAACCATTCTGGGTTCTGTAATCCACAGAATAAAGATGTCCCCAAAAAGATCAATAGAATCCCAGGTACAGACAGGGAATTCCAGAACAATGGACTAAAGCACACCAGGTGTCAGAGCCCATTGAGGTGTTTCCTATAGACAGAAAAGCAGCAGGAGTTCAGCAGAGCATCAGTGCCACCACAGCTCCCAACTCCCTCAGGGACAGCTCCAACTGCTGCTCATTCCAGATCAAGAGTGCAATGGCAGAGGTGACAATATCCAGGCTGGAATATTTATTCTGCAAAAGAGACCATCCTTTGTAGAGCCACCCCTAAAGATGGGATTAGTGAATGCAGACAGGGGAACCCTCCTGCTCCCCAACAAACACCCTCACATTTGTCACAGAATCATCCCAGACTGATTTGGGTTGGAAGGGATGCTAAAGCTCATCCAGTGCCACCCATGTCATGGCAGGGACACCTTCCACCATCCCAGGCTGCTCCAAGCCCTGTCCAGCCTGGCCTTGGGCACTGCCAGGGATCCAGGGGCAGCCCCAGCTGCTCTGGGCACCCTGTGCCAGGGCCTGCCCACCCTCCCAGCCAACAATTCCTTCCCAATATCCCATCCAGCCCTGCCCTCTGGCACTGGGAGCCATTCCCTGTGTCCTGTCCCTGCAGGCCTTGTCCCCAGTCCCTCTCCAGCTCTCCTGGAGCCCCTTTAGGCCCTGCAAGGGGCTCTGAGCTCTCCCTGGAGCCTTCTCTTCTCCAGGTGAGCACCCCCAGCTCTCCCAGCCTGGCTCCAGAGCAGAGGGGCTCCAGCCCTTGGAGCAGCTCCATGGCCTCCTCTGGACTGGCTCCAGCAGCTCCACGTCCTCCTGATGTTGTTCCCCAGGGCTGGGGCAGCTCTGCAGGTGGGGTCTCACCTGAGCACAGGGGCACAGGGGCAGAATCCCCCCTCCCCTGCTGCCCACGCTGGGGGTTCAGCCCAGCACAGGGGGGTTCCTGGGGTCAGTGCCCGTGGCCGGGGCAGGTTGAGCCTCTCACCCACCAACAGCCCAAGTCCTTCTCCCCAGGGCTGCTCTCCATGAGTTCATCTCCCAGTCTGTGCTCAGGGCTGGGATTGCCCAGGTGCAGGTGCAGGACCTTGGACATGTTGAACTCATTTCTCCAGCTTGGGCAAGGATCTCCTGGGAAGCCTGCCCAGCCCCCCAGCTCCAGGATGGCTCCAGCACCTCCCCTCCACAACTCTTCTGCAGGCAGAGCAGTCCCAGACTCAGAAATGTGCATCTAGTCAACACTCTTTTATTAAAAACAATTACAAAAAGTTACAGGTTACAATCGTTCTGTACAACCCAACCAAAGCTCTGGTACTGGGGAGGCGATGGCAGCCCCGGGCCAGGACTGGCTGTGACCACACTGATGGTGTGGCTGGATATGGTTCCACCTTCCCAGGGACATCCCTTGACACAGGCAACACACCCCCACCCCAAAAGCCTCAGCTTAGACTGGAGCATGGGGAAAGGAAGGGGAAATGATGCCAGGGGATTCCTGCCTGGAGGAACCATCTGCCTGCCCCAGTCCCAGGAGATGGGATCGAGCCAAGCAGCTCCACAAGCAGGACACCAGCACATCGTGTCCATGTTGGAATGCCCTGGCTCTGACAGGGAAGGAGCTGCTGTGGGAAGCAGGGGCTGCCTGTCAGGAACAGGCAGGAGGCAAGAGCCAGATCTGAGACCTGACGTGGCTGCTCCAGGGACATTCCATCGCTGCAGCCAGGGGTGAAGATAAATGGGGGATAAACATGGGAAAGAGGCAGAAGCAGAACAAACCTTCCCTCCCCAGCTGGGAAGCACTGAACTCTGTCTCTCCCACAGTCTGGGCAGGAACAGCACTGTTCCCTACAGGCCAAGGTGTCCCAAGGCTGCTTGGGGTGCAAGCCCCAAGGCAGGGAAGGAGCAGAGCTGGGTGTGGAGCACTGGGGGAGCGGCAGGCAGCTGCATCCCCAAAACCTGGGGTAAGGAAAGGGCTGCCAGGAGAAACACAGATGGGCTCAGCAGTAACAGGAGTCTTTACAGCCCCATTTCTCCTGGTGGCTCCCACAGAGCCTGGCAGAGAAGCTGCCTCCCTGCCTCTGAGGGCAGCAGTGGCATGGGGAGAGTTCACCAGGCCCAGCATGGGGCTGGAGCAGGACATCCCTGTCCTGGAACACAGCCCAGCCCACTCCTGCCCACAGGCTGGGACAGCTCAGCAGGACATGCAGGGGAAACACAGCTGTCCCCAAACCCTGAGCCCAGCAGGGCTACAAGGGAGTGAGCAGGAAACAAACCCCAGCAGCTCCTGTGCCCCACTGCCCCCAGACTGACACAGCCAGCCCATGCCAGGGACACAGCAGCCACCAAGGGACACAATTCCAGTGCTGCCAGGGAGGGCGAGGTGTCACTGCTCTGGGAATGGGGTGAAGGTGCTCCCTGACCCCAGCTGAGAGACCCCAGCCCTGGGGATTGTCCCTTCAGCTCTGCTGTCCCCAGACAGCAGCAGGGTCTGGGCACAGGGGCCCACCAGGAGCATCCAGTCTGCCTGGGCTCTGCCCCAGTCACCCCAGTGACAGTCACACCCAGCAGCTGCTTTTGTCCAGGTGCCAGACACACAGCTGGCTCCTTCACTCTCTACACAATTCCCAGCATGTAAACAAGCAAAAATGAAGGATTTTCCCCTATTGCTTTTGCCTGTACCAAGTCCCAGCACCAGGGGCAGGCTGGTGGGGAGTCCTGCCTTACCTGCACACCCCAAAAAACCTTGTTCCCTGAACACAAGCTCACTGGGGCCCTGCTGGAAGCTGAGGGTCAGGGAAGGAGCCTTGTCCTACCCTGCAGTGATGGGATGCAGGTTCTCCCTGGCTCTGGGAGCTGTCTGTCCCTGTCCTGCCACGTGGCTCCCTGAGGTCTGGGCAAGGTGTGACACTCGTGGTTTCCTCCTTAGCACTGACTGCAGAGCCAGGTGCCAGCCAGCCCTCAGCAAGGAGCTCACCTGGGGCACAGCAGGTGGCAATTCCCAGATCCCACCTCATTCCTCTCCCTCCAGCTGCTCAGAGCCAGCCTCCCTCTTTGCAGCTGTGCAGTGGGATGGGCACCAGGATCTCTTGCCAAGTGCTTGATCCTCAGATCTTGCTTCCCACACCAGCTACACAATCCACTCACAGCTGCCTGCCCAACCTTCTTCCATCTCCCCCCTCTCCAAACGCTGCTTTGGAGTACAGAGGCAATTTAACTTACATTTGGGAAAAAAGAAAAAAGTAAACACTCTACCTTTAACTGAACCAGAAAGATCCTTCTGCACATCTCCAACCTACCTCTAACAAGCTTCTCCTAGGAACCAAGAACTTCTGGTTGTGCTACTCAAAACCACCTTACCAGGCCCACAAGGCAGTGCTTGGACCACAGAGAATCCCTCAGGGGAGTCTGAGGATCTGAGAGCCACCAGCTGGACAGGGGGACTGCAGGTGTGAGTCCAGGAGTCCTGCTGGGATGGCTGGGGAGCAGGAACATGCTGCTGGCACGGGGGGACAGAGTGGCTGTGGGCATTTATTGCACTGCTTTTTCACAGAGGTGCAGGAGAACAGCAGAGAGACAACGCGCAGGTCATCGCTTCACTTTCGCATCCTCTTTGATCTTCCACACCATCAGCTCCATGCAGGCTCGGGCATCCTCACTGGAGTCATGTCCTTCCACTGGGGACACAAACACAGGCAGTGAGCCCCTGCTGCCTGTTCAGCACAGCACAGGGAGCTCCCCAGGTAGAGCCAGCTGCTCCATCCCCTGCAGCCACAGCCACACCTGGGAGCACCCTGAGCCACAGCCGGGGATTTAAGGAATTCCACAGAATCATGGAATGGTTTGTGTTTTATGGTTTGTTCAAGATCATCCAGTGCCACCCCTGCCATGGCAGGGACACCTCCCACTACTCCAGGTTCCTCCCATCCAGCCTGGCCTTGGACACTGCCAGGGATCCACAGCTGCTCTGGGCACCCTGTGCCAGGGCCTGCCCACCCTCAACAATTCCTTCAGAACAGAAGGCACAGAACAATTCCTTCCCAATATCCCATCCAGCCCTGCCCTCTGGCACTGGGAGCCATTCCCTGTGTCCTGTCCCTGCAGGCCTTGTCCCCAGTCCCTCTCCAGCTCTCCTGGAGCCCCTTTAGGCCGTCCCTCTCCAGCTCTCCTGGAGCCCCTTTAGGCCCTGCAAGATTTTTTTTTCCCACTAAACCCACACTTTTTTCTGGATTTCATCCTGACACCACCAGCTATGGAACAGTTGGGAGCTTCCCCAGCAGTGTTTCCAATGTGCTCAGGGAATCCAGGAGGGAACAGGCTCCACTTCCAACAGGACCCATCTCAGCTGGCCAGGGTGGGAAGGGAGGGCAGGGCCTGGCCTTGGCAGAGCCACCCTCAGCCTTCCCACACCATTTCCTTTGTCCCACTCAGCACAGGGAGGGAAGCAGAGAGCTCTGCCCTCAGAACAGGGCTCACGCTGAAACCAGCTGTGGCTGAGGCTCCTTATGTCAGCACATTCCCAGCTACCACACACATGCAGGGGAGAAAACAGCAGGAGCAAGAGGATGGGCTTGGGGAGAGCAGAGGAAGGCAGGGCTGAGGAGAGCACACCCAGGAGGAAGTGGGGTCCCTCAGAGGTCTCACCATTGTCCTGGATGATGCGTTTGAGGTAGTCGGCCATCAGCGTGCGCAGGGCCCGCTTGTAGGGCAGCCCCAGGCGGTGGGGGAACACGATGGCTGTGTCCACTACAGTGCCGTGGATCAGCTGAGGGAGGGAGCACAGGAACAGGGTTATTTCCCCCCTCCCACAGGGACAGGCACTCCTTGGGATCAGCCACGCTGCAGCAACCTTCCGGTCACCTCTGGGGCTCTGTGCAATGCTCTCGGCAGCTTCCGACCCAACCAGTCTGGCAGGAGGCTCTGGGATCCAGGATGAGTCCCCTGGCAGGGTGTGTGCACACAGGATTCCCACTGCTGTGCCAGCCTGCTCCCAGAGCCCTGAGACCTCACATGCAGCCCAGCAGAGATTCAGGGCTCATCCAGTTCAGGTAACTCAAGCAGGACAGGCCAATCCTTAATGCCCAAAGCCTGGAGGAGCTGGAACAGCTCCTGAGTCCTTCACAACTGAAAACTAAACTGAAGAGCCAGCTGACTGCACAACAGCCTCTGTGGGAGCTGTAGCAACCTTTCAACTGCTTCTCAAGATGAAGCAGCTCAGTCTGTGGCATCCCTGAGGATTGGAACTGGGTAATCTTCATGGTGCCTCCAACCAAACCATTCTGGGATTCTGAGATGGGGACAGAAGTGGGCAGGATGTGCACGCCAAAGCAGGATGTACATCACACTGCTGCTACAGAGCAGGCCTGGCCTTCGGGGTGCAAACCAACCCTAAATCCTCCCATCCACCAGAAGTGACTCAACAGGAAGTTTTTAACCAGCACCAGCTCAGCAAGGATGGAATGGGACAAGGAAATTCTATCACTGAATCATATCAGAGAATGTTTTGAGTTGGGACTTTTTAAAGGGCTTCTACTCCATCCCTTGCCATGGCAGGGACACCTCCCACCATCCCAGGCTGCTCCAAGCCTCATCCAGCCTGACCTTGGACACTTGCAGGGAGCCCCAGCTGCTCTGGGCACCCTGTGCCAGGGCCTGCCCACCCTCCCAGCCAACAATTCCTGCCCAATATCCCATCCAGCCCTGCCCTCTGGCACTGGGAGCCATTCCCTGTGTCCTGTCCCTGCAGGCCTTGTCCCCAGTCCCTCTCCAGCTCTCCTGGAGCCCCTTTAGGCCCTGCAAGGGGCTCTGAGCTCTCCCTGGAGCCTTCTCTTCTCCAGGTGAGCACCCCCAGCTCTCCCAGCCTGGCTCCAGAGCAGAGGAGCTCCAGCCCTCTAATCCAACACCTCAGCTATGAATTGTCACCACACTGGAGGAACTGAGGATGCTGAACAGGTCAAAGTGCTTCCCACCCTGCACCAAGGGGCTTGGGGACAGTCAAAGGCCCCACCTGACAAAGTCCATAACCATAGAGCAGGCTGGCTTTTTTTAACACCAATTTCTTCCTCTCAGGCTAAGACAAGATTAATCCTTTGCTGCATCCAGTGGGAGCTAAAGGAATGTGGATGAAGGCAATGCCATATCCTGAGCACAGGAGTGAAGTGCAGGGCTTAAGAGATAAACCTGTGTCCTGTCCCAACACAGATGATTCCAACAGGATCCTGATAATCCCTCTCCCCTCTGCCTCCAGGCACCAGCTCATGTTGCAGGACAAGCCATAACCCCATCAGTAACAGCTCCAGAACTGCCCCAGAACAGCTGCACTGTAACAGAAACAACCTGCTCCCCTCCCTGGAGTATAAATCTGCCAACGTTATGGATAATCTCCCCTGGACTGCACTCAGCTCTGGCACCCTCCCAGACACAGTGGTAATTACTTATGTAGATCAGGAAGACTGAGGAAACAGGATGATAAAGCTTTAAATAAAACTTGAAATGCCATCAGCACTTGGAACTTGCCACAGCCATTAGTGAGATATGGCTTTACTGCCACAGCCCTCGGCCATTCTGCTGTGACACCCCACGGCTCTGCTGGACTGCTCTGGGCTCCTCTTGGCAGAAGCTGTGGTGCTGAGAGAAAATCAAGCCTCTGTGAGGCCAGGGCAGTCATCTCGAGCTGATCTAACTGGAAATAATGTTTTTCTGATTATGATGAAGCCTCTCCAAGGCTGGGATAAAGGGTGCCACAGAGAGGTGAAGTGTATTACAGGCATTAAAAGCTCCTGCTTCCAGCCCAGCCCTGAGGGCTGGCAGCCACAGAGGCTTCAGCAGGAGAGCTGTGGGACAAAGAATGGCTGAGGGAAGTTGTGGCATGGGAACACAAAGACTTGGCTCCTGCCTGCCACACGCTCTCCTGGTGACCCAGGACAAACCCCTGTCAGGGCAGGACACACTCCCTGGCAGAGGTGGCTGAGGGATGGACACACCAGGCTGATGAGGGCCAGGCAGGAAACAGGACAGGTAAAATGTCAAAATAACTTCATCAAAGTAACACCACAATTCCTAGAAAAGCTGGCACAGAACAGAGAACAGATCTGGCAGGGGTGAGAGGCACATGATTTGGGATCAGTCATAAATCATGGAATGGTTTGGGCTGGAAGAGACCTTAGAGACCATCTTGTTCCATCTTCCATTAGATGAGGCTGCTCAGAGCCCTGGCCAGGCCTGTCACCCTGGGCAGCAGCAGCCACTAAAAGTTCAGGTGACACCATGAATGACACACATGACCCCACTCCCTTGCACTTCCACCACCACCAGCTTCAAACAGGCTCAGAGACTGGGCAAGGAATCCTGGAATATTCTGAGTGGGAAGTGACCCTCAGGGATGATCAGTGCAGCCCCTGGCCCTGCCCAGACCCCCATCAACAAGCCCACCCTGAGCATCCCTGAGAGCGCTGTCCAAACGCTCCTGGAGCTCTGGCAGCCTTGGGGCCGGGCCCATTCCCTGGGGAGCCTGGGCAGTGCCAGCAGCCTCGGGGGGAAGAACCTTGCCCCGAGATCCATCCCAAGCCCTGGCACAGCTCCAGCCCTTCCTGGGCTCCTGTCCCTGGTCACAAGAGTGAAAGGATACCTGTCCCTCCTCTTCCTCCATGAGGATGTTGAAGACCACAATGAGTCTTCCCTCAGTCTCCTCAAGGCTGAACAAACCAAGTACCCTCAGCTGCTCCTCATGAGGCCCCTCCAGACCCTTCCTCATCCTCACAGCTCCTCTGGACACTCTCCAATGGTTTCATGGCTTTTTTGTACTGTGGTGTCCAAAACTGCACACAGGACCTGAGGTGAGGCCACCCCACTACTGTGAACTCCTGGTCCTTGGAAATAAACAGTTCCTAAATTTGAAGGAGACACCTCACCCCCCCCAGGGTGGGAAAGCACCACAGGGAGATGTGAAGGCAAGAGCCCAAGTTACCTTTAGTGCAAATAAATCGCTTTCCAAGCTGTGCCCTATCAATATGGTGTCTGCACTGAACATGTTCAGTAGGACGGCTTGGACATCCCGCAGGGTGATGCTTGTGTTCTCCAGGTCCTCTTCTGTCACACCTGAGAATCTGCAACAGGACACAGGAGGGGGTCCTTCACTTGAACAAACACCTCAAGGCCCAAAGCCCCTCAGCCCTTAGAGAGTGTGGGCAGTGGAGTTTCAAAGAGTGCTCCCAGCCACTCTGAGCTCCTGGGAGAGCACGAAGCTCTGTCCCAAGGAGAACCATCCTCACCTGGTGTTACAGCCCTTACCTGGTGTTGTAATCCACCACCTTGGAGTCTGGCTTCACAAAGGTGTCGTACACCACTTTCAGCTCTGAGTTGATCACAGTTACTCTTGTCAGCTCCAGTCCTTGTTTAGTGTAGCACTGCAAGGAGCAGGGCAGATTGATGAGAGGCACAGGCCAACCGGTGTGGAGCCCCTCACCCAAGGGCTGCAGCCCCCAAAATGCAGCACATCTGGTGCAGCAAGGCCAGGCAGCAGCACAGCTCAGCATGGGCCAGTCAGAGCCTGCCAGGGCTGCTCAGCCTTCAAGTCAAACACACCAATCAATAAGAGCTCATTTACACCTCCAGCACCAATATTCAGAGCAGAGAGAATGAGGTCAGGAAACAGCTTCCCTTCAGCCACTTGTGTCACACCTCAGCCAGTCCCAAAAAGCTTTGTTTTGGCTTTGGACCCACCATTTCACAGTCTAAGGCATAGATCCCAGGGTAGCCATCAGTCGTGGGCAGCTTCTCAAAAGTCTTCACAAAGCCATCCAGGCTCTCCTTGCGCCCATCGTGCACGTGTTGCTGAAAGGAAAAGACAGGGACAGCTGGTGATGATAAGAACAAGAAGCCAAAGAGCCCACTCCAACAAACCTCCAGTTCAACAGAAATGGGTTTTTAATAATTTCTTAATGAGGAATAAGTTTTGCCCACAGTGAGCCTGAGAAGTTCACAGCAAACACAGCCATGGGCAGCCCTAACTCCAATGGCAGATCCAGGCTGGTGGCATCGTACTGACAGCACGTGGAGGAGCAGGACATCACATGTCTGGGGAGAAAGAGCTTTCAGTCTGGAGTAAAATTAGGCAGAAAGGGTCACTTTGAGGCCTGACACTGATGTAACTCCAGCTCCTGGTTCCTGTGGCCAAGACAAGCCCAGGACAGGATGCAAGTGCAGGATCCTAACCCCAGACATCCCTGTGTGAGCGTGAGCACCAGGTGCAGGTGGCAGCAGACACCCAGCTCCAGAGTGTGTCTCACAGCCACTGCATCCCACAGCCAGCCCACACCACCAGCAGCTCCAGCCCAGCAGCACTTGAGGCAATACAGGGAATTTCCAAGCACTCTGCATTGTTCCCAGCTAAAGCTCTAGGGTCAACAAGATCCAGCAGGAAAACTCAGGGAGTGATTTCACAAGTGGCTTAAGCCAGTGCATGACTGAGCTGCTGTTACAACACAGGTACTCCCACACTCCTCCACAGCACAGATCCTACTGGTTATCCTGAAACCTTCCTGGAACCAGGGGCTCTAAGCTGGATGAAGTTTAATGGGGAAGCAGGAACAGGTAACCAAGGGCAAGGCAAAGCTGTGCCCTTTTGCCTGCTGACATGGTTTTAGGTAAAACCAACCTGCTCCACAGCCAGAGGTGATGCTCTCCCTCCCTCATTCCCCGGTTGTGTTTAAGTTTTGTCTGTCCCTAAATCTCCATGTATTTGTGCACAATCACAGCAGCCTCCTTCACCATGCTCAAAACCATGGAATCACAGAATCCTTAAGGTTGGAAAGGACTCCCAAGATCATCAAGTCAACCCAGCAGTCCCACCATGGTCACCACTAAACCACGTCCCCAAGTGCCACATCCATGTGTTTTTGGAACACTTCCAGGGATGGTGACTCTACCATTGCCCTGGAAATCCCCTTCCAATGCTTTTCAACTCTTTCTGTGAAGAAATTTTCGCTAATATCCGATCTAAACCTCCCCTGGCCCAGCCTGAGGCCGTTCCCTCTCCTCCTGTCCCTGTTCCCTAGCAGCACAGCCCAACCCCCCCGGCTGTCCCCTCCTGGCAGGGAGTTGTACAGAGCCAGAAGGGCCCCCTGAGCCTCCTTTTCTCCAGGCTGAGCCCCTTCCCAGCTCCCCCAGCTCTGTTCCCCTCTCTGGACACACTCTAGCCCTTCAAGGTCCTTCTTGTCATGAGGGGCCCAAAACTGACCCCTGGATTTGAGGTGGGGCCTCAGCAGTGCCCAGCCTGGTACAGGGCTTCCCATAGGTCTCACCCTACAAAGAATTAAATTGTTCTGGGTTGTCTCAGGATTAAAGGCTGGAGAGATGAGGAACTGAGGCCCTTGTAAAGCTGACATGTGTGGGCAGAGAGGAAACCAAAGCAGGATTTGCATATTTTCTTGCACAGGTCACTACTGCAGGTCCAGCCAGAGCACAGGAACTGCATCATTTGAAGTTAATGAGGCAGCTGGGCCAATACAGAGGCCAATCCCTCCCTGCATCCACTGCCAGCACTGCCCAAAGGCCTCATGGATCACTGCTGCCCAGGGGCAAGGGGACACATTTGTCCACTCTGCACCCACAGCATGGATCCCCTGCTGAGGGAATGGGGAGAGCAGCTCAGCAGCCAGGAGACAGCAAACACCTCTCCCTCAGCCCTTCCCTCCCTGTGTAACACAACAGAACTGAGCAGTGAAGTGAAAACAAAAACAAACTCTATTAGGTATTTTTCTCTATCAGCTGCTGTTCTGAAACTGCCCAATTCTTCCTGGCTGGGAGGAGGGCAGGGAAGTTGCTCCTGTTTTTGAGAGCTGAGGAAGGAGCAGCCTCGGATATCACAAAGAGCAGCCACTCCAGGCTCCCTGGAGCAGCACAGCTCCCTCCTGCCATCTCCTGCCTCCCTGCCTAACTGCAGCAAACCCAGGCAGGGACACCCTGTGCTTGGACACACACAAACGGGCTTTTCTAACCAGCTCTGGGTCTCTCAGACACTGAGAATGGTGTCTTATTACAGATATTTTCTGCTTTCAAAGCCCTTCTTTAAAACTGAAGGATTCTGTGCTCCCCAATATCCCAAAATTTCACTGTGTGGAAACTGAGCAGGTTGTGGATCCAAATCTTCCAAAGGGTGCTGTGAAAACTGGGGGTTTAGAAAAGAGAGGGGGACTCTTTATACTGGTATGGAGTGACAGGACACAGGGAATGGCTTCCCACTTCCAGAGGGCAGGGTTAGATGGGATATTGGGAAGGAATTGTTCCCTGTGAGGGTGAGGAGGCCCTGGCACAGGTTACCCAGAGAAGCTGATTTTAAAAAATCCTAAATTCATGTGGAAAAGAAAGAGAAGGAACAACCTGATCCCATCCAATCCAATTGTACAGGGCAGGCTTTCATGGTGCCCAGAAAACTCTTCCAATTGTAACAAACCTTGAATTTTGCCCAGAATTCACCTTCTACCTCGAGTTTTTTGTTTTCTCTTGTGTGGCAGGTGCCAAATATAAAAATGTCACTAAAACAAGTGACAAGGAGCATGCCCAAAGAGCTGAGGGAAAAGCACAAGACAGTCTGGGGATGCCAGGCTGGGACAACTCTCCTAAGGGAAAGAAAAAAGCATCTGTGCAAAGGCACCCTAAACAGTGCTCTGCTCTATCAAACTCCACAACTGAGCAGGTTTTTCATTATTTTTTCTAATGCTGGGCTCCCTCAAAAGAAGTTTTGTGATGTTTTGGAGGTACAACAGGCTCCTTGGGAAGGCTCGTTCCCTCATTACAACCAAGGACAGGAAACTTGTCAGAAAAGATTTGTCCACCAGGAGAAAGTTACCTCAGCATGGGAATCTGGAAAGGAAAAGATGGGAAAAAGGCTTTGGCACACTGCTGCCAAGGCTCTGGGACTGCTCCTTGAAAGGAAATCCCTTATTTCTCATTTCTTCTGCAATTCACTAAAGAACATCAGCTTTTCTATGTCCCTCAAGTAGATGAGCTGGGCAGCTCAGGATAAATGAACCAAGCCCACTCCAGACAGCTGAGTGTCAAATACTGGATTTTCCTACCACTTCAGAGCAAAAAAAAATTAAGCTGCACTTGTTTTATCCCCTTAAGGGAAGCCACTGCTCTTCTAAAGGCTTAAGCAAGGATTTCCCAGCCACTGCCACTGTGAGCAGAGCACAAATGTCACTGAGAATAAAAAGGTGTTGTTCCATCACTTACTTTAGCAACCTGGCAGCCTGGTGACCCCACAGCTCCGGAGCAGCAGCTGTAGTGAGTTTCCCACCCACCTGGCACTGAAAGAGCAAGAGATGAAGGGTCAAGGAGAACAGTCTTGTTAACAAGAGACCTGAACTTCAGCTTTCACGTGCAGATCCCCTGGATCCCCACAATAACGTGTCAAACACAGGGGGAAAATTACTGTGGATTCACAGGCAGCAATCTGAAGAGTTTAAGCCTCTGGTACTCAGCCAGACAAACTCCAGAAGCCACTCAGATGCTCTGATGGAAAACCAGAGCAGAGCTCAAACTAGGTTAGTGCCTCACTGCAAATGAATTCAGCCAAGATCAGTGAATCCTCCTGGGACTGACAGACCTTTAGTGCTCCCAGTCAGCCTTTTAAAAGGCTGATTTCTCTCAAAAAGCACAGGAAGGTTTTTTTCCTTTACTTTTCTGAATGAAGATGAAGCACCTCTGCTGCAGCCCCAGTGTCACATTTTGGGGATCAGCAAGTCCAGCACCTCTTTGTGAGGCCATTTCAGTGACAGGCACAGGACCTGTCACCACCTGGGAGCGTGACAAGCCCCAAAATGAAGCTCAAAGCTGTGTTTGGAGCTGGAGCAGAGGCAGCACAGGCCAACCCCCCTGGCAGGGCTGTACCTCTCTGCTTGCGCAGCCGCCCCCAGTGATGGACACACTCCTCCTTCCGGATGCAGTTCCCCGAGGCTGAGACCATGTACTCGGTGCCACAGCGACAGCAGATCCTGCACGAGGCTTGGGGACAGGAGAGAAACAACAGCCACGTCACTGGAAACCCCTCACCTGCTTAACCTGGCCAAAGCAAAGGAAATCACAATCACTCAAGCCCAAAATGCTGTTAAATGATGTTTTCTGTTAAAAAGGAATCCAAATTCCTATAAAGACACAGCAATCTCTCTGAAATCTGCCCTCCAAACACTTCCCAGAGGCAAACACCAGACTCTCTGGTGGCTTTGCTCCACATCAGCTGCCCCCCAGTTCCATCAAGGTTTGCTGCATTGTTTCTCCATGCACAGCAAATTACATTGGAGTCTAACACGGTTATTTTAAGAAACAGGATAAATAAGTCATTCTTTGGACACCAGAGCTAATGAAGCCTGGTTTCCAGGGGATCTGTGCCTTGTCACTTCCAAATGACATTTTAGCTCTTCCAGGGCACAGCTTTTCTGTCAGGATTTTCCAGCAGCTAAACCCAGGAGCACTTAGGGCAGGGTCTGGCCCAGCAAAGGGGCAGTCTGCAACTGCTCCCTCCTACCACCTCTGCTTTTACTGCACAAAATTTGGGGAAGGGAGATGCAAAAAGCCACTGTGAAAGAGCAATCATTCTTCTGATGTCCATGTAATTCCATGAGTTCTGGTGTGAGCATTAATGCTGTTAGCACATTCCCAGCTCTGCCCAACACCAGCCCACTGGTTACAGTGGCAGCAAACAGCTTTAGTTAAGAAGAAATTCAAAGATCCTGCAACATCTGCAGAAAACTACGGGAAAAAAACCAGGAATGTGAGCTCAGGATCATACAAAGGAGCTGGCTGGTTCCTTGGAAAAAAGGGCTCTCACAAATACAGCACTTGACAGTGTTAATGCAAGAGAGCTTTTGCCCAGGTTGCTTCAGCAACCACAGGACAAATGTAGGCACAAGGTGTTAACATGGATGAGCACTTAACACACTTTAGAGAGGTCTCTCCACACAGATGCTCAGGGGAGCGTGGCAAAGCACCTCAAAAGAAATCCCCAGTCTGGGTTTTATCCCTGCTGCAGCACAGCCTGCTTTAGTCAGGGGCTGAGGAGCAGAAATCTTGCCATGGGTTCAGAAAATTCAGAGGACCCCATCCTATCCTGAGGAAACCTGTGGGATCAAGGCCAGGTTGGACATGGCTTGGAGCAACCCAGTCTGGTGAAAGGTGTTCCAGGGACACCTTCCCTGAGAGGGGCTTTAAAGTCTAATCCAAACTATTTTGTGATTTTATGATCAGCTGCAAAAAGGGCTCTGGGGAACTATTTGGCCCAGCAGTGCCGTGAGATCAAAGAGAAAACTCTGCAATCCAGAGCAGCACAGCAGGACCCACTGCAAAGCCAGCCTGGCCCAGTGTCAGTCCTTACCCCCCATAAGAGCAGCTCACAGAGCTCACAGAGACAGAAAAATCCTTCCCCTGGGAAAGGGGAGGGTCACCAAGTGAAGAACAGGAGCCTCTTTCCAACCTGCTCAATTGCTGTTCTTTGGCAGCACAGAATCATGGAATTGCTAAGGCTGGAAAAGACCTTTAAGATCAAGTCCAACCAACAGCACCACCACCATGGTCACCACTAAACCATGTCCCCCAAGTGCCCATCCACACATTTTTTCAATATTTATGGGGAATGATGACTCCAGCACTGCCCTGGGCAGCCTGTTCAATGCTTCACAACCTTTTTCATGAAGAAATTTTCCCTTACATCCAATCTAAACTTCCCCTGGTGTGACCTGAGGCTGTTTCCTTTTATCCTGTCACTTGTTAACTGGGAATTAGAAATTAGAAACCTCCCTCAGCCTCACAGTCCCACAGACTATAAACTCTGGGTGAAAAACAGCATTCTCAGGATGTGAAAGCTGAAGAAACTCCCCATGCAGGAATCCTGCAGCCACATTCTCTGTCACAACAGGAGCAAAGGCTCCACACTGAGACCTTTACACAACCACAACAGGCAGCTCCAGCTGCATCCAGCAAATCCTGCAGAAGGAAAGAGCCAGCAGAGCTTACAGTCAATCACTTTCTTCTCCTCTGCAGTGAAGAGCACAGCACGTCCGGCCTTCTCAGGGTGAGGCATTGGGTACCCGTTCTCCTTGAGCTGCTCCTCGGTCATCAGGTACTCCTTGAGGCGCCGGTACAGGGCAGCTCCTGCACACAAACACAGGGCTGAGCTCCCAGCACTAAAGCACTGCCTGCTTCTCTGCCTTTACCAACTCTCCTGCCACTATTCTCAACTTGCTTCCACTGCCTCAGCTCAGGATGGACAGGAGAAAAGGTGCTGGTGGTAATTTTTGAAGTCTGGTCATTAGTGCACAAGTTGATTTTTAAACTCCTTGAACAAGGAGCATGAAGTCTGGAAAGCACAGCTGGAACAGAATTCCTCCAAAAGACCCATCTTCAGCCTTGCTGTTACTGATAGACCCAGCCCAATTTGGGACCCTGGAGATCATCCCATTCCTGCCATGGGCATGGACACCTTCCTCTGTCCCAGGTTTCTCCAAGCCCCGTCCAGCCTGGCCTTGGGCACTGCCAGGGATCCAGGGGCAGCCACAGCTGCTCTGGGCACCCTGTGCCAGGGCCTGCCCACCCTCCCAGCCAACAATTCCTGCCCAATATCCGAGCCATTCCCTGTGTCCTGTCACTAAATGTGAGACTTCTCCCATTTTAATGTTTAAATTCAACAGCTGATAATTGGTAACCCAGCCCTCAAATACTCCTCAAAGGCCACCCACAGCTCACTAAAAACTTCATTATCGGAAGTTTCTTCCTGATTTCAGGCTGCTCATTTAATTTCACAGAATAATTATAACTTCTTGCACTCTGCCCAATATCTCCTTTGGCTGCTGTGTTAAACCCTTCCAATATTCCTGGGTGCCCTTTGATGTTGCTTAGCTGAGCTATACTGGCCCTTTTAAGCTTTCTCAATGTCAATTCCTTCTGCTCCATGGCCTCCCTGGCTCTTCTCTGATCTCCTGCACAATTTGCCTACATCTCTTGGCAACCAAAATACCCATAACTGATTTGAGCTCACATGAAAAATGCTCGTGGCACAACCCTTTGGCTACGATACGACCTTACTGTGACATTGGTGAAAGTGAAACTGAGCCCTGCAGAGATGGAGATTTTTAAGTTTGCCTTTTAATCTGACAGGCACATTGTAAAGAATTGCTTCAGGGCAAGAAAGTTAAAATTAAATAATGCCCAAAGCACAAGAGGCAGCTCTGAACAGTTATTGATGCTCCATCAAAGCCAGCCAGGCTGCAGCAGTGACCTCACAGCCCCAGTGAGGATGGAAGGAGGGCACTGGTCAGGGGTGTCACCATCCCCCAAGGGACTCTGCAGCTCCATGATACAGCCAAGTGATAATTCCTAACAAAGAAATCCCAGCAGGTCATAAAATCCTGGAATATCCTGAGTGGGAAGGGACCCTCAGGGATCATTGATCCAGGCCCTGCCCAGACCCCCCCCAACAAGCCCACCCTGAGCATCCCTGAGAGCGCTGTCCAAACGCTCCTGGAGCTCTGGCAGCCTTGGGGCCGGGCCCATTCCCTGGGGAGCCTGGGCAGTGCCAGCAGCCTCGGGGGGAAGAACCTTGCCCTGAGATCCATCCCAAGCCCTGGCACAGCTCCAGCCCTTCCTGGGCTCCTGTCCCTGTCCCAGAGCAGAGCTCAGCCCCTGCCCCTCCGCCTCCCCTCGGGAGGAGCTGCAGCCCCCGAGGAGCCTCTCCTCAGTCTCCTCTGCTCCAGCTGAACGAGCCAAGTGCCCTCAGCTGCTCCTCAGAGCCTTCCCCAGCTCCGTTTCCCTCCTCCAGACACTCTCCAACACCTTTGGATCCTTCTCACAGGGCCCAAAGTGCCCCCACAAGTCGAGGTGAATGCAGCAGCCTGATTCTGCTCCCCCCAGTCAGTGTCACACCTCAGCTCCACCCTTACAAGTGACAGCCCAGCAGGAGCAGGGTCTGACCTGTCAGATCCTCGGCTCTCAGGCTCCCTGAGCGGTTCAGAGTAAAGCTGGTCTTGGCAGCAAGCTTCCCTCCCAGCACAGCTTCGTGGGACACCACCTTCTTGTTACTTGTCTCTGTAAGGAGAGGGGAACAGCACAGGGGGACAGAGATCAGGTACCCAGGGGGTGACTTCAGTCCTGGTTTGGGACACTACACATGGGCAAGAAGAGGGCTGTGTTTATCCTCTTGAGCTCTTGTTTTGCTCCAGAAATGGATTCTCTGTGCCACATGCTGGCCCAGCATTTCCATTCCAGCACCACAGAGAGTTTTCTGTTCACACCGTCAGCCTAACACTTCTACAGTTCTGCTAGAAACTTGTAGCTCTCCCTGCTCACTCTGCACAGCAAGCCCTCCAACTGACCAAAAGCAAGAGAGGAGACAGAACAGAAACAACTTGACCCCTTCATGTGCTGTGCGAGGGCATCACCCACCCCCGGGAAGCAGCTTTGATTCTGGGGCCCTGCAGACCAACCTCCCACGCAGGACCTTTCAACTTCTTTCAGAAAGGAGCTTCAGAGCTCTAGAATATGCTCAGCACATCAGATAATGGCAGAGAGGGGCTTTTTACTAATCATTAACTGGCAGCCCTCTCCTAAAGGCCAGCCTCCAAGTTCAGCTGCTCTGCCTAATGGCCAGGAACGTAATGAAGACAGAGGGGAGAAAAAGGAAGAGACCAGAGGAAAAAAAAATTCACAAGAACAGCACAAATTGATTGTTTAATGTACCCTCTCGAGAGCCAATAATGAAATGTCTTAACCCTCTTCGTTTCTCTCTTGAAGCTTAATGTGTGTAACAGATTTCTGTGGTGATGGACGAGTCTATCACTTTGAAGGCATCATGTGAAACTTACTCCATTAGCAGGGCTTTTCATTTGAAAGAACTTGTGCTAAAAAAAAACACACCCGTGTGGCATTATCTCCATTTAGGCTCAGAAAGCCAACAAAGCATTGCAGGACCTGCCTCTTGAAGGCCCATTAAAGCTTGCCAGGCTATAAAAAGCTAAACTGGAGCTGTTTGCCTTTCAGCATAATGCTGCTGAGAAATGGGTTCTGGCTCTTCAAACAAGTTTCTCTCTGTGGTTTGTACTCCCAGCAGGGCTCCAGCTGTTAAACTGCAAGGTACCTACTGTTGGTGCTGGCCGGGGAGTTGGGCACGAGGCTGCGGAGCTTCTTCAGGGTGTTCACAGCCACGTTCAGGTAGATGTTGCGACTGGTGCTGCGCTCATAGGCCACCTTCTCCTCTGCCAGGGCCTGTGAACAGCAAAAGTCAGCACCACACACTCCCTTCCCACTGGTCCCAGAACCCCAGAATGGTTTGGGTTGGGAGGAACCTCAAAGATCACTTTTTTCCACCTTCCACTATCCTAGGTTGGTCCAAGCCCCATCCAACCTAGCCTTGAATACTTCCAAGCATGGGCAGCCACAGCTTCTATTGCTTTTGGAGAAAATAAATGTTTGGTTCTTAAAATACAGACTCCAAGTAGGACCCCCCCTAAAAACATTGCCTGACAAGGAATTGAGTAATAAAGCAGAACATGGCACCAATATGTACTGTGTGTGGGGCCTTGCTCTGGTAAGCAAGAGAAAAAATAGTGATTTTATTTTAAACCAAGTGCTGGAAAAAGCACTTTAATGTGAAACTTTCCCAAAGAGATTAATAAAAATTTCCTAATTAGCAAAAAATTTATTTTCTTCAAACTTTAGCATATTTTAAACTGGTATCATCCCTTCTCTCCTCCCCAATATAAAGTCTGCTGCCACCTTGGCTTAAGTATTCCAGAGCTGCTCTTGATCCCAGGAAGATTTATCCTTGCCATGTTTTCATCAAGTAGTTCTTGATTCTTGCTCTTGCCTGGGAAAGGCTGCTTTCCCCACTTTGGTGCAGTGCAAGATCTTAACTGGTAGGAAAAGGAGGTTTGGCAAATGGTGACTCCTTGGATGCAACAGGAAGTTGGGAAGGTGGAATCCCACAAAAGAAATCCCTGTGGTGTCTGCTTTGATTCGGAACACACCCCACAATGTCACACATTTACCCAACTAATGGCCAAGGTTTTCTAATAAAATGTATTACCTTCTCAACTCTGCTTTTGGAAACCCTACTATACTGTCCCTACTGCTAGAAGGTTCCTTAAAAGTCTCCTTAAAAGCTTTCAGAAGCAGTAAGTGACCAATTCTAAACCAATTACATCTATCCCAAACACTTCCCTGTGCTCAACACCTTCATTCCAGGGGGTGTTTCTGGCTGCACCAGAGCAAAAGGTCTTCAACCACAACATATAATTCCTCTGCATTCCTCTCCTGGGGTTATTAAAGGGATCAGGCAAGCTTTCCAAATGAAGGGAAAAATGGGATTTCCTACTGGAAGCCCCCACTGGAATGACACTTTCAGTCTGGTAATATTTAATGCTGGTTTCCTCAACTGAACTGTTTGTGGATAGGGGAGTTTTCATGGAATCAGGGAACAGTTTGGCTTGGAAGGGACCTTAAAGATCATCTAGTTCCCACCCCCAGTTTTTGCAAGCATAAATCAAATCCATTTTTCTGGATTTGCTACAATTTTAGAAAGTCTTGGCCAAGGCAGAAATGTCACTCTCTGCTGCAAACTTTATTCCTGAGAAGCAAGGATCTGTACAGACCTTGTCGAAGGCTTCCTGGGAGGAGGAGCAGAATTTCAGGCACTCATCAATGAAGAGATTGAGATACCTCTGACGAATGTTGGTTGGGACTTTAGCACCAAATTCTGTGGGAATAACAGGCCTCTGTAAAGTGGTGCTCTGGAGGTGAGACAGAGAAAGAGGCTGGTCAGGCTCCAGGATGTTGCTCCGAGGCTCTCCCACTTCCTGTTATTAATCAAGGGGTGACTTCCTTTTTGAAAATCTGGCCAAACTTAACACGCAGCACTTTTGATACTAAAAATACCACTTGAGGCTTCACCACCTTCAGAGCCTTAACTGCTCTAGAAAACAGCTGTATTTGACTCTGAAATCAGCCAGGAGCCAAGGACTCCAGTGGCATTAGTCACACACACGCATTCCAGAGCAGGGAATGCTGACATTTCCAGCAAGAGATCTGAGGTTAGGATGGTACTGAGCATCACAGACTGCTCTGGAGCCAGGAACACACAACTCCAGTTATGGGCACCAGAGAGGTTTGGTTCTCTGGCTGTGAAGAGTGAACAGGAGGCCCCTCCTGCCAGGCTGGCAGTCACTTAACCCATCCACTTCCTGGGGCATTCCTGAAGAGTGACTACATTGGGGGGTTTCTTTCTTTTTTAATGTCAGTCATGATGTTCCTGAATGGATTTATCCCTCCAATTTAATAGTATGTTCTTCAAAACCTGCATATTGGACTGAGCTATGACCCACCACTGCAGCTTTCCATTTCACACCAGTTTATTCCCCACATCACAGCACAATTGCCTCTTTTTTCAGAGAGGAAAATGTACATTCATCTCTAAAACACCCAATTGTTTTGTCAGTTGTTCTCCATCCCACCCAAGAGATATCCATAAACCAAACCATCTGCTGCAATCTGGAATAAAAACAGCTCTGTAGAAGATGTGAGCTTGTTCCAAGGGGACAAACTGGTCCTATCTCAATGGGAAAAGTGCTCATTTTCCCCAGGAGACTCTCACTTTGATGCCCTGTTCAAGGGGATTTGGTCCTTTTTGTTAAATATATAAATTCTCAGTCTCTAATATGATACCCTTAAGCACCTCTGTAATTCTGCTAAGTATTTTATCCTTTCAGTTATTTCTCTTATTTTTAATCAGCTTCAAGTTCTACGTTACTATGGTGGCAGATTGGGTGGGAAAGGAAAAAAATTACCTTTCACTCTTCTAGAAATAATCAGAGCAAGTTATGACAGATCTTGACAAAATATCATCAATTAAGGGATCTTTAATCAAGTCCTGGCACTAACCACGTTCTGCCATCCACTCCAGCAAACAGTTCCTTCTGCCATCCCCAGGCTGCTCCATGAGGAATTCTGTTATTGTCTGAGCAAGTAACAGCTTCCCAATGCTCACGGAAAGGAGGAACTTAACAGAATCATGGAATGGTTTGGGTGGGAAGGGGCTTTAAAAATCATCTCATTCCCATCCCCTGCCATGGCAGGGACACCTCCCACCATCCCAGGCTGCTCCAAGCCCCGTCCAGCCTGACCTTGGACACTGCCAGGGATCCAGGGGCAGCCCCAGCTGCTCTGGGCACCCTGTGCCAGGGCCTGCCCACCCTCCCAGCCAACAATTCCTTCCCAATATCCCATCTAACCCTGCTCTCTGGCACTGGGAAGCCATTCTCTGTGTCCTGTCACTCTGCTAAGAAACTCCTAGCAAAGGTACCCAAAGGCTGGGCAGAGATCCCAGAGGGTAAAGAGAAACAAAAAAAAAAAAAAAAAAACCAAAAAAAAAAAACAAAGCCAAAAAACAACAAAGACAAAATAGTCTTTTCTTTAAACACTAGCAGCAGCATGAAGTTCAGTGATCACATTTTACTATTTAGGTCACAGAGGGACATTATTCATAACCACCTGCCTCAGTGTGGCCCACAGAGCCTGGGAAGGCCATGAATCCATCCCTGGCTTTTCAGCACGGGAGGTTCCAAGCCCCTGACCCAAACACAGCCAGGCCAGTCAGCACAAGAGAAGGCTTAAACTGGAGACAAGTGATCAATATTCACAGAGATCAGAGCAGCACTTAAGTATTTTTACCTTTTTCAATTCCTATCCCTTGAGTGTTTAATTTTTTATACAATGCTATCTAGGAAAACCACAGGAAGAAACAAACCCACTTAATCAACATAATCAAAACACCACTTTCAGGGAGTGCTAAACTTGGAACAGCAGGATCAAACATTCCACCCTCCCCAGGGAATGACAGGAAAGAGTTCAAATTCCCCTTACCTGTAAGGAGGGAACATGTGCTACCCTTTTGGGCACGATGGTGGTGGTGGTCTTGGAAGCCATCCCAGCCAAGGTGCAAGGCTTCAGAGGAAGGGTGGGGGCTTCAGAGTCATTGGAAGGTGTGACACTCCTGCCACCAAGAGTCGTCTTACTGCTCCCGAGGCCTGCAGGGAACACAAAACACCCGGGTGCAAATCCTGCCACTGGGCTTCAGGCTGCCAGAATGAACTCACTATCAAAGGCCTGTGCTGCAAGCTGTGATTTTCTCAAATCCAGGTCTCCAAAGGGATACAAATTGGGTAATTTTACCACCTTGCAGGCAAGGATGAAGAAATCTTCTGCCAGGAAACGTGTCTCATTTGTGTTTGTTTTGGGGTGACTGAGTCAGCAGAGTTTAAAGAGGTAACTCTGGCAGCTCTGTCACTGACACCCCACACGTCAGCTCTGAGCCCTTCCACTACAAAGGGACAGCAATGAGCATTAATTAGCACTTCCCTCCTGCTCCTGCCACCTCTGAAGGCTTAAATGGAAGAGAGAATGAAGAACAAACACAATCCAAGGAAGAAACAGAAAAAGGAAAGGCTGAAGTAAGGGAGGCCAAGTGAGACAGATGAGGCTGTACACATCTGACCTGTCACTTTTCAGAACAGGATGGAATTTCCCAGGTAAAGACCTTCCACTGGACACTATCAGCAAAGATTCAAGTCATGGGCAGCCCTATACATCCCCTGACAGTTCCACATGTGCTCAGGAGAAATATAAACACACGGTAGTGCCTTTGACCAGGGGGAGGACAGGACAGCGATCCCAAATCCCGCCGCTGGCTTACTTTGCTTGGCTGCTGCGGTGAGGGCTGCATTTGGCACGTGAGCAATCCTCCTCTTTTCTCCTGGCAAACTGAGGGAGGTCTTCTGAACAGCCCCAACCAGCTGTGCTGCCTGCTGCTGAGCCAGCTGGATCCTCTGGTAACACACCTCCTGGGCCGTGGGGGGACGGTACGGCCGCACCACCGGCTTGCTCGGGGCCTCTGCCTGCACAGACAAACAGCATTTATGGGCAGCAGCTCCCCTGCTCCATCCACACCCCCTGCCTTCCACTCACCCCAGAAAGGTCTCTTCTTCTCAACCCCTCCGTTAGCAAGTACAGGCTTTTGAGAGGACAAGATCCCTAATGTCTTCCAGAACAAAATAATTAAGAGTCACCCTTAACAAACATGGCATTAATGATTCACGCTCTGGGAAGGCCTCCCAGCTCACTGGCACGTTCCTCAATTGGCAGGTGGTATTAATGAACTGCTTTAAGTGGCGTGATGTTCCCCATGGCTGTGCCCAGCCCAGTCCTGGGTTCCATCAACACTCTCAGCCTTGCCCTAGCACACAAACCTAGCCCTGTGCTGCCCACTTTGCTTTCTATTGCAATAAAATGGTGACAATTCTCCACTCCCCTTTGCCACATGACACTGAGCTCCAGTGCTCCCTCCCCAAGGACCTCCTGCATCCACCTCTGCACCACAGCAGCTCCCACCTCTCTGCAGCCCTGGAATTGCTTAAAACCCTCACAGATACATATTTATGAGATCAGGGCATTACATAAACTGAGCTCTGAATTTCAAACAGGCTCAGGCCCTGCCCACTTCTGGAGGCACCTCACTGCCTCAGCTGGTACAGCACAAACAGGTTCCACACACGTTCGTTTCCTTTGATGGCCAAATTAAGGTTTGCAGCAAAAGTGCCAGAAATTATGTCAGCAAAGAGAGAAGTTTCCCAGCAGTAGAAGTGCAAGAGAAGCAGCAGTAGTACAAACTTCTCCACTCTGCTCAACAGCCTTTGAAATGTGAGGAACAGGCCTCCCCTGAAGTCTCCCTGGAGGAGGGTGGCCCGGTGTAACACCTAGGGGCAAACTGGCACCTCCTGCATTCCCAGCCTCTGATGCTGACAGCAGCTTCTGGATACCAAACTGAACTCAGGCAGACATTAAATTATAATTACAGACTTCCAAGCAGGACAGGCCACTCATTTTCTGCCTCACCTGCAATTCCTTTGGCCCCCCATTTCCCCTGGCAACCAACTCCGAACTCGGCTTCCTCCCCTTCTCCTGCTCAGTCCTTGAGCCATAAATCATGAGCAAGACTGAGCAAATATTCCACTTGGAGGGACACAGCAAAGCACAGGCCTCAATTCTGAGGTGAAAAGTGGCAGCTCAGGTGTTACAGCACCTCCTGGACAGAGCTGGGAGCTGCTCTGAGCTGAGACACTCCAGGGAATGCAGGTCCTGGCAGCTGAACACACCAGATCGGCTCTGTTTGCCCAAGCAAAGGCTGTTCTGGGGCTCCAGTCTTTGCAAAGCATTTTGGGTTCAGCTGTCACATTAAGAAAATACATTTAAAAATTTGTACATGTCTAAAAGGTGCCTCTTTACAATAAATATTTGAGTTAATGAATTTCCAAGCCATTTGGTTCAGTCTCTTATCTCTTCACTTTGGAAGAAAGAGCCCTTATCAAACCACATGAACTGGCTGGAGATATGTAGTTAAATAAAACCCTTTGTATTGACCCCAGGGCTTCAAATTATTAAAGGCAAAAAAACCTTTCCTAGGCAGAGAGGAAAGACAGAACAATTAATTTGGACTACCCAACTCAAATTAGTGCACAAGCCTCCACTCTTATCCTGCTGTAACATAAAACTAATCTGTGCTCAGCACCTGGAGGGAAACACATTAAACCCTCAGAGAAAACATGAATCAAAATCTCAGGAAGAAAGGAATAAAAAATCAGAACGTCTTCCTTGCTGTTTTTGGTTTTAATTGTTCTCCTCTGTATTTGCACAACTGGGAAAGAAGAGTATCCAAACAAATGCTGCTGAGATCTTGGCTGATTCAGAACAGATGTAAGGTAATGGTTTTAAACATCTGACCAAATTCCTGCAGTATCTTTTAGGTCCACAAGGCTCAGAAAAATACCAGCAGAGTCACCTTGTGTTAATTTTTATTGAAATTGCTGAATTAAGCTATACTGGAGAAAAATAAACACCTCAACCTATCCCAAAGGGTTACACCAAGAGCACAATCCATTCACTCTTCCCAGCCTACCCTTGGTTTTAGGAAGGTTTATTAAGTTTTACTATCACTTTTAACAGGTCTTAAGCATGGGAGTTTTTTGAGAAATTAGAAAGAGGAAACAAAAGTGCCATAGACTGATTCCAGCACAAACAACTCCCACACTGCTGCCTGGCCCTGGGAGTGCAGCCTTTTCCAGGGTCAGGACAGAAAATCCTCACTTGGAACAAATTAACATCTGCTTCTAAATTTGCACTTACATTTCCTTGTTTGACAAGATGAGAGATCCTTCTTTTTTGGCCAGGAAACAAGGTAGTTAAATTATCTTCTGTCTTTTCTTCATTTGCTTCCTCTTTGGATGGCTGGAAAACAAAAGAACAGGAGAACAGACTTGAAGATCCCTTGCAAGAGGGAGATGTGGGAAGTCTCCTTTTGGGTTAACCTTGCAGGGGGTGCAGATGAGAACACGTGGTCAGCTGCTGGGCCACTGACAGGAACCTTGCTGTGACCCCAGGAGCCACCAAGAAAGCCAAGGAACAGCAGCAGGTCATTCCCACCCCAGCAGCAGCTCCAGGAGCTGGAATGGGGCAGGATCAGCCTTACCTGCCACAGGAGCCTTGAACAGCCCTCCCCTGCCAGCCACTCACACACCTTACCTCCCATGGCATTTTTAGAGTCCAGGGGGTTTGGGGTGGTTTGGGATTTTTAAGAAGTTGGGAACTGACTCATTTCTGCCCCAGGCAGGTACTGACACCTGCTCAACACCAAATCATGGTGCCCCCACATGTAGGGAAATGTTTTCTGCAGGTTCAGCCACAGCTGTCACTGCAGGAAGACTGTGGTGACACAATCCAGGTCACATCCAGAAACTCAGCAGGAGGCAGAAGCGCCTCTTCAGCCAGAACTACTCCAAGCTGACACCTCAGACCTGCTCCTGGACAACGAGAACCGCATGGAAATCTGCTTGAAATTCAACTCAGTTGTTAAGTGATACAAAACACAAGTTTATTTTTCAAAATTCCAGCTGCTCTCCAGACAATATTGTTTTCAGTTTTTCAAAACAACTCCTGGCAAAACTCTGAGATGAGCCTCACAATCTCTGAAATTCAGCAACAGAGCCCAAGGCTGGATTTAGGGATGAGCCTGTGTTCATCACCACAAGGGCACTCTGGATGAGCACTTCACCCTGAATCACTTGGCTCCCTAGGAACTCTGAAGTCTGTTAATTCACTCACATCCCTAATAAACTCTCTCACAATTCAATTTTCCCAGATGGAAAAGCATGGCACTGCCCATATGCAGCTTCCTGGAATCCTGGAATATCCAGAGCTGGGAGAGACACTCAGGGATGATCAGTGCAGCCCCTGGCCCTGCCCAGACCCCCCAACAAGCCCACCCTGAGCATCCTTGAGAGCGCTGTCCAAACGCTCCTGGAGCTCTGGCAGCCTTGGGGCCGGGCCCATTCCCTGGGGAGCCTGGGCAGTGCCAGCAGCCTCGGGGGGAAGAACCTTGCCCTGAGATCCATCCCAAGCCCTGGCACATTACTGAGACCAAACAACACCAGGTTGTGGTGGTTTTGCACGGCCTGCTGTTTGCTAGAGGTGGCCCCTGTGAGAAGCTGCTGGAAGCTTCCACCATGTCCAGCAGAGCCAATCCCCAATGGCTCTGAGGATGAACAAGCTGCTGGTCGAGGCTGGGTCAATTAGAGGAGATGGTAACACCTCTGTGATAACAGATTTAAGAATAAAATCAAAATAAAGTGGGGCATGCAGTTTTAATTCCATCTAGAGGAGGAGGTGGGAACATGTGAGGGAAATGACATGGAGACACCAAGGTCAGTGAAGGAGGAGCAGGAGGTGCTCCAGGCACTGGAGATTCCTCTGCAGCCGTAGTGATGACCATGGTGAAGCAGCTGTGCCCCTGAAGCCCATGGGGATCCACAGGGGATGCAGAGATCCACCCACAGCCCATGGGGATCCACAGGGGATGCAGAGATCCACCCACAGCCCCTGGGGAGCCATAGGGGAGGCAGAGATCCACCCACAGCCCATGGGGAGCCATAGGGGAGGCAGAGATCCACCCACAGCCCATGGGGAAGTGCCCACACCAGAGCAGATGGATGCCTGGAAGAGGCTGTGAGCCCATGGGAGACCTGCTGGAGAGAGGGGGCCCTGCTTCCAGGCTGGAGTAGCTTGTCCTTGGGGGACTGCACCCCGTGTAAGAGTGACCCACACCACAGCAGTTCTGGGAGGGCTGTGTGCCCAAGGAGGGACTCACGGTGCAGTACAGCTGCTCCTCGTGAGAGCGGAGCCACACTGGAGCAGCTCACAGAGAACTGTCTCCCGTGGGAGGGACCCCATGGTCTCACAGGGGAAGGATTTCTCTCCCAGAGCAGTGGAAGAAAATGTCAGTGATGAACTGACCAAAAGCCCCATGCCCTGTCTTCCTGTGCTGTCAGTGGGAAGAAGGGAGGGGCTGGGGAGTAAAAAGGTGTTTTAAGGGCTTATTTTACTTCTCATTATCCTACTCTGATTTTGTTAGCAAGAAACTCACTTTGTACCTCTAAGCTGAGCCTTTTGTGTCCTTGGAGTATTCTCTCCTGGTCTTTATCTCAACTCATTAACCCTTTGTTTGAATTTTTTGTCTCCTCTGCCCAGCTGTAGCAGGGATGGGCAAGTGAGTGACTTTTGTGGGTACCTGGTGTTTGGCCAGTGTCAAACCAGGGCGGGTCCATCTAGGAAATCATTCCATGACCAAAAGCAATGCCCCATGACCAATCCCACCCAGCAGGTGCCTACCCACAGACACCCATCTCCCAAAGAAGGATCCCTGTGCTGCAGTGAGCCTCCTTCCCAAAAGAGCAGGAAACCAAACCTCAGTGCAGGGATACAAAGGAGCCACACGTGGCTGCTGACAGCTGAGCTTTGTCACCCCAGGCCACAATTAACTGTTTGCTGTGGCTGGCAGCCCCTGGTTCAGCACTTTCTGAATTCAGTGATCAGTAATTCCTGCTAGGGCACAGATTATGTGCCCTTCAACTATTTTCTTTTTATGTAAATACTATCTTTTTACCTCCTTAATCTGAAGCCCCTGGTACCACTGGAAGAAATTTTATCCTCCATTTCTTGCTTGCACCATCCACAAGGTATCCAGAGATCCTGAGGAACTACCTGTAGTATGCATTTAGAATAGGAAAGATGAATTTGGGGAGTCTCCAAAGTGTCTGACAAATACTGGACTTACTTGCACCAACACCCTGTCCAGGTTCTACCTGCCCCAATGTTCCTTAAACTCTGCAGCAACAAGAAGGCATTGCCCAGACTGGCAATCTTAGATTGGCTTTGAAACCCCCAAAACTCACTACCTGTAGCGTTTTCTCCTGCCATCCACACCCCCAAGGTTCTCAGGCCAGATGGAGACAATAAGTAATTGATAACCCCGAAAGCTGAAAACCTTCCACACAAAAGGGAACTGAACCCTCGCATTTCAGAGCAGCTTTCAATCCAGCAGGTAAATTGAGGTGCAAACACTTACAAACACTCAGTCACAACAAGGAAGAGATTCTTCCAGCACATGGAGTCTCCCTCTTCAGCTACTTGAGATAAGCAAGTACAATCAGTCCTTCCACCTTTGGAGGGGAGAGAACCAACAACCCCAACCCAGCATTACCTGTTTCCCCAGCCTTCCTTTGTCTTCAGTTTTCACATCTTTAGATTCATTAAAGATCCTGAGACACTCCTCCATGGGATCTGACTCAAAGTCCACATCTTTCTCAAGGATGGAATAATCAATGTCATCAGATGTTGAGGAAGATGATGATGACTTGGATAACTTTGAGCGCTTCACTTTCTTTGTCCTGTCCTTGTCACTCTCAGAGGCCGAGCCAGAGTCAGCCCCATCCAAGTCTGAGCTCACATCAAGTAACGAGGAGGACAAAGGCCGGCCTTTGTCATCGTCATCTCCACTCTCATCTCCAAACAGGTCCACGTGACTCAAACTCCGCTGCTTCCGACCCTTCTTCGGGTCTCCCTGTCCTGCAGAACTGACCTTGTCTTTCTTTCGTTCCAGGGAGGTCTTGCTCCCTTTCTCTTTGTTTTTACGACCAGAGCTTTCCTTTCCATTTTTCACATCAGCAGTTTTGCTCTGCGAGTCCTTCTTGCTGCTCTCCACTTTCTCTGTGCCCTTGGTGACACCCTCGCTCTTGTTTTTCCCTGAATTGCTTGTGGTGGACTTGGATTTTTCTTTCTTACACCCATCCACTTTTTCTGACTTCTGTTTCTCAGGTTTCTTCAAGTTCCCATCTGTTTTCAATTTAACGCTTTTGTCTTTACAGTTTTTCTCTTCATTCTTCGTTTTTAATTTTTCATCTTTCTTGACCACTTTATCTTTGTCTGTACTTTTAATTTTCTCCTTTTTCCCAGCCTCACTGAGGCCTGGTGTTTTATTAACATCTGTTTTCTTCCTTTTTTTGTCTTTCGAGTCTTTGTTTTTATTTTCAATTTCCTTGCTGTTCTTAACAGAACACAACTTCGCTGCTTTTGAATTCTTGTCTGATGAGCTCTTGGCAAGGTTTTTCTGTGAATTTGGAAGGTTCTCCCTGTGCTGTGCTGCTTCTTTGCTCTCCTGGGAAGCAGAGCCATCTACTTTTGTGCTCTGCTCTTTGCTGGAGAACTCATTTGACTCATTCTCAGAACCAGCTTTTGAGGGTGAACTAACAGAAGCTGTTTTATATTCCACCTCAGCTTCATCCTCAGAGGAGGAGAACCTGGCCAACACCTCATCATCATCGGGATCTTCGCAGAGCTTCTTCTGCAATGGCGAGTAAGAGTCCTCATAATCAGAGGCCCTTTCCCTTTTGGACCCCTTGGTTGTGGCTTTGCCCAACAGCCTGGCAGAGTAATTGGAAAGGGGGTCGTATTCCAAGTCTGTGGAAGGCTTGGAGTCATCAATCACGTATTTATTGTTAGTGACAGTGCTGCTGTATTTTTTATTCTGGACTACAGCTTTGGGGACATATTCCAGAGAGCTCCCTTTGGAGCGGGAGGAATCCAAAGTGTATTTACTGGACCGGCCAGCAGCAGCCAGAGGAGTGGGGTTGTAGTCCGAGTTATTATTGAAGTTGAAGCTCCCTGGATTATACTCCAAGGAGGCAAAGGAATCATTCTGAGGCCCAGCTGCTGACACAGGTGTGTTTGAAATGAGTGAGGAGCCCTCTGAAGCACCAAACTCCTTCGTGGTTTCCAGCAGCTCCTCGTATTTCTTCTGCTCCCTCTCCACTTCATTCTTCACTGCCTCGATGGCCTTGTTGACCAGCTCCAGCTCCAGAATACCGGGTGTGACATCTGTAATGTCAGCCAGAGTGCCATCCTCCGCCTCCAGCGACGGCCTGGGAAGCTCAGGGTTGTAGGGATCATAGCCTCGCTCTGGAAAGAAAAAAAATAATCATTTACTGCCACCAATTCAAGTAAAATATAAAGACACTTTTTAAGGTCTGCTCTGATCAAACCCCAGCACTGAATGACACAACCAAAAGCCACACTCTTGCACCACAGAATAAATAAATATTGGATATCAAAAGCCACCGGTGATGTTCTCTGGCCTGCACTAAACCAGATTGTACAAACTTCTCCCAGGACTAAAGATCTGTTAAACAAAGTGCTTTTAACACTCACAGAAAAGCCCTATAAATTAAATATTCTACAGGGTACCAAAGAATAATCACTGTATTAGGCCCAAGAGAGGCTGACTGTGCACACAACTATCTGCTTAATTCAATAAAGGCACCAAAGAAGAATGAGGATTCCAGTGAGAAACTGTGGATTAGGTTCTCACTTCCCAATGCCAACACCTAAAGCCCACCAAAAGCCTCCAACACTCCTCAAGGCTCAGTGTTTCTCATGGCAGCTGCAGGAAACCACTCTGATCTGGACTGACAAACTGAGAGCTGCTGGTAGGAAGGAGAAACTACAACAGGCAACACAACTCAATCACTCAGAGCAACCAAGACTAGAACACTGAACATAAAAAACATTTCCCTCTTCCACACTCCCCTTCCCAGAAAAGTCCCTTCACTGGACTCTCTTCCACATCCAGCCTGGAGAAAAGAAGACTCCAGGGAGAGCTCAGAGCCCCTTGCAGGGCCTAAAGGGGCTCCAGGAGAGCTGGAGAGGGACTGGGGACAAGGCCTGCAGGGACAGGACACAGGGAATGGCTTCCAGTGCCAGAGGGCAGGGCTGGATGGGATATTGGGAAGGAATTGTTGGCTGGGAGGGTGGGCAGGCCCTGGCACAGGGTGCCCAGAGCAGCTGGGGCTGCCCCTGGATCCCTGGCAGTGCCCAAGGCCAGGCTGGACGGGGCTTGCAGTGATCTGGGATTGAGGAAGGTGTCCCTGCCCATGGTGGGTGTGGGACTGGATGATTTTTAAATTCTCTCCCAACCCAAACATTCCAGGACTCCAATAATGACAGCTGCATTTAGCAAACCTGAGAGAAGCTACAGGAACATTAACAGCTGCTTTTTGACTCTGAACTGTTTTCAATCCTTGTTTTATCACAGCATCTCTGGATGCTGACATTCCAGAGGAGCTTTTTGTTCTTTGCTACAAGCACTAAAACTGGCTCTCCAATGTGGATATGCAGAAGATCCAAACAATAAGCAAAGAGACAGAAAACAGAAAATTAAAAACCTCTCAGGTCTATGAGGGATGAGAGAATTTCTTGTAACATTAGAAACAGACAGTGTTAAAAGAGCTGTTTCTACCACTCTTGTAAGACTGATGGGTTTGGGGTTTTTTTGCGGGGGGCAGGGGTAGGTTTGGGGTTTTTTAGAGAGGATACATGAATGCACAGCTTCCTTTGGCAACAGGAAAAGGATCTGACTAGCAGTTAGCAGAAATGGCCCCCAAGGAAGCAGAATGAAAGAGGCTGGGTTAAAATAAAAACAGCAGTTTTAGAAAATACTTTTTATCCCTCTGGGTTTGCGAAGTTTTCTTCCAAACCAATTAGCTCCTGATTGAACAGGGACTCTGGGCAACAGCAGCATGATGTCACCACCTTCCATAGGCCTGTCTGAGCCTTATTCAGAGCCAGAAACATGGGGAAGAGGAACACGGTGCTATTTCTATAAGCAGCTCCCCTCCAGCTATTGCAGAGAGCTGTAATGATGACACAAAGAGCATTTCCAAACCCAGGCTGTGCTCCTCCCCTGGCCACCCAGCACAGCCAGGGACAGAGGGAGGGAGCAGGTGACCAATTCCTGGTTAGAAATCTTGAAGAAAAGCAGGTAACAAGGAAAAAACATAAACAAACCCATAAGCAAAGGAGCAGCATCAAGGCAAGGATATGAACGGATTCTCAGAATCGTTAATGTCAGCTAAGAAGTGATAAGGAGTAGACAGCTCTCCATCCCCACCAGCTCAGCTCTGACCATGGTGTGAAACATCAGCTCCACACTGGCAGAAAGGAGCAGGGCACTGAAACCTGGAGGAGTCAGCTGCTACTCTAAATCAGGATTGAGACCTAAAATTCAGCACAAATATTTTAAGGCAACAGCTGAAAGCCTGGTAATTCATACAGGGCTAAATATCAGATGGTCTGCAGAGAACACTGAGTCTGGGTCTAGAGACTCTCCCAAAAAACCCAACAAACCCTAACCAAATAAAAGCCATCTGTGTCCATGCAGAAAACCAAACTATGGTAAATGTATCAGGAGCAGGGAAAGCAGAGGGCACCCCCAGCACAGAGGTGGTGTCTGCTGCTCATCTCTAGCACAAAACTCCTGCAACAGTTTGTGTGGCTGGAACAACCAGATGAAAATAAACAGACATTATAACACACACACATTATAACACACACACATTGTAACACACACACATTGTAACACACACACACATTATAACACACACACATTGTAACACACACACACATTATAACACACACACACATTGTAACACACACACATTGTAACACACACACATTGTAACACACACACATTGTAACACACACACACACATTATAACACACACACACACACATTATAACACATACACATTGTAACACACACACACAAACACATTATAACACACACACATTGTAACACACACACACACACATTGTAACACACATACACATTATAACACACACACACATTATAACACACACACATTATAACACACTATAACACACACAGACATTATAACACACACAGACATTATAACACACACACATTATAACACACACACACACACACACATTATAACCTCAGGACATGCCACAGGCTTTGAGACAGGGCAGGGAAAGAGCTCCTGGGTAAGTGTGGGGGAGCCTGATGGATTCTCCAGCACTGCTGATCAAAGGCTGCCTGGCCATGAAAGACTTGTGTAAGTGGCTCCACGATGCCCATCAGCACTGTCCCCTCTGGCCACGAGGCATCTGCAGATAATGCAGCAGAAACATGGCAGAAGGGGGTTTTATTTATAGGAAAATGCAAACACAGATCTATATATATTTATATGTATATATATGATGAGGCATAAACACACAAGTCTCCAAACCAGAGATGTTCAACCTGCTATTTGAAATCAGAGCAGCTTTTCAGCTGGCAAACTACACACCCAGGAACCTGGAAAAGGAAGGATCTTCCTGTCACTGGGATCTGACACTCAAAGGAGTCTGCTTGATGTTTTCCTTTATTCCTCTTCCTTTCACTAACCTGCACACTCAGGGTGTAGCTCAGGATGAGCTACACTGGGGTTGCTGTTCTGATGCAGCAGATGGCTGCAGCTCCTGAGGGAGCAAAAGGACTGAGAGATGCTCATAGTGAAATAACTCTTTTTGGAGGGATGGAAAGCAGAGTCTGCTCTGACCCTCGGGAATCATGAGATAATGAGACTTGAGATGCCAACTCCTTGCAGGATTGTGAACTAAATACTTTTTAAAGTACAAACTATTTTAATAAAATAATGTACCTCAGACATATGAAATAACCCTCCTGAGAAACAAAAAGTGAGGTTACCATCAGTATTATAAAAAACAAATTATTAATATTTTATACAGAACCTCAGTGGATGTTTTATTTAACCCAGAATTGCTTTAGAACACACCCAACTGAGCTGTGCTTAAATCAGCCATTGCAGCACAGAAAATACAGAAGCATAAAACAAGATTCTACCTAAAAAAACTGGGCTGATGGGTTTTTTTCCTGGTTACTGTCATGTTCATTGCAGGACATGAAGCCTCAGTTCCAAGGTGGAGCTGGATTATTACAAAGCTTCCCCTAGCCAGACTCCTCACTGGTCCTTCTAGTTTGGGCAACAGGCAAGGGCAGTAAACAAAGCTGATATTAAAGAAGAGTGGGAGGACAAGGTCACCTGTGTGAAGGTAAAACTTATTTCACAGTGAATCATTCCAGAGAAAAGTCTTTCTTCTTTCTTCTTTTTTTTTTTTTTTTTGGTCCAGCCCTGCCACAGCACATACCTAAGATGTTTTAAACTCTGAAAAGCCCAAATGTGTGACAGGTGCTGGTCAATGCAAACCTGCACGTTTTGGAAAAGGAATCCAGCTCTTGAATGCATGTGGGGGACAGAATCCTGGGATGGTTTGGGTTGGAAGGGATCTTAAAGCTCATCCAGTCCCACCCCTGCAATGGGCAGGGACATCTTCCACAACCCCAGGTTGTTCCAAGCCCCATCCAACCTTGGACACTCCAGGGATGCAGCAGCCACAGCTGCACTGGACAACTGGATGACAACTGCTTCTTCCAGATCCAACAGAGCTACTCAGCTCCTGCTGCCAGACAAAAAGCCTGCAAAAATTAGAAACTTTCAAATTTACAGCAATTAGGAATTCAAAACAAAAGGCTTTGCTGGCCAAGCTGCAGAGGGACCAGCACGGGTCAAAAGACATTGAACATTTCTTGTAGTGAACCCACAAGAAGGACACTGAGGGGCTGGAGCATGTCCAGAGACAGGAACAGAGGTGGGGAAGGGTCTGGAGCCCCAGGAGGGGCTGGGGGAGCTGGAAAGGGGCTCAGCCTGGAGAAAAGGAGGCTCAGGGGGCCCTTCTGGCTCTGCACAAGTCCCTGCCAGGAGGGGACAGCCGGGGGGGTCGGGCTGTGCTGCCAGGGAACAGGGACAGGAGGAGAGGGAACGGCCTCAGGCTGGGCCAGGGGAGGTTTAGATTGGATATTGGGGAATTTTTTTCACAGAAAGGGTTGTCAAGCATTGGCACAGGCTGCCAGGGCACTGATGGAGTCACTGTCCCTGCAAGTGTTCAAAACTCGTGTGCATGTGGCACCTGGGGACACAGCTTAGTGGGACCATGGTGGCTGTTGGACACAATGATCTTACAGCTCTTTTTGATTTTCAAGCCCTGCTGCTGCAGAAGTCACCCATCCCCCTGGGCCACCTGCAGCTGGAAACAGAAGGTGCATTCATGGGGAGGTGGGGAAGGTGAAATCTGTTTGGAGGCTCTTTGGAAAAGAACAAAATAAAGGCATTTTTATTTCACGTCATCGGAACAGCTTTGTTGGCTTAAGAGCTTGCTGTGTTTACAGTGCCAGCACTCAGCAAAGGGAAAACCTCTGTGATTGCAGAAAAATTATCACCACTGGAAAATCATTCTGAGCTTTTCACTTAACACTTCACAGAAGGGACAGTGGTTTCTCAAAACAAAATGTTTCAGAGAGGCTTTACCAGCAGCTTGAGTTCTGCTACTATTCAGAATTAAAGAGCACACAAGAAATGGCAGGTTTTGGCACAGAGCTCATTTGCCGGGATCCAAAGCAAATTTCCAACAATTAATTTAACAATAATATGCATCCACTTGGAAATAATTAACACTGAGATTTAAAATAGTACATTTCAAATAATCATCCAGAGGAAATGGGTTAGGAGTGCAGAGAAGGGGAGCTAAGAGAAACGTTTCTTCAACTTTAAATTCAATCCTAATCCAAGGATTTGTTTTGCTCCGTTTTTGTATTTTTGAAAAGTAATTCTAATTATAAAATTGTTAAAAGCAAAGATAACCTTGTGCTAGTCAAGGAATACCAGGAATCAAGGCTTGAGAGGTATTAGAGGCAGAAGAATCCCTGTGCACCCCAATCCTTGGGGATTTGTTCCTCCAGGGGAGGTATTTAATGCCACAGCCTCAAAGTACATCATGAACCTCTACAGTCATTTCTTTATTGGAAAAAAAGATGCAAATATGAGAAAAGAAAGCCTGATATTAGCAAGGCTGAAAGAAAGTCTGAACAGTCATCTCTCACTCCGAGGTATTTTTAGCCCTGCTGGGACCCAGCCGGGGCAGCGCTGGTTTCTCCAGGTGTTGTGGCCAATGGGGCCACCTGTCCCCATGGGCTGAACCCCGGGGTGACACAGCACAGGGAGGGGGACATGTCAAGGGACAAGAGCAGTCAGACACCACCTCTGTACTGTACTCTGAGCTGTTTCCTCAGCTCAGCCATCCCAGACTGAGGGCAGGCAGTGCCCAGGGAAATCATGGAATGGTTTGGGTTGAAAGGGACCTTAAAGCCCATCTCACTTCTGGACACCTCCCACCATCCCAGGCTGCTCCAAGCCCCGTCCAGCCTGGCCTTGGACACTCTCAGGGATCCAGGGGCAGCCACAGCTGCTCTGGGCACCCTGTGCCAGGGCCTGCCCACCCTCCCAGCCAACAATTCCTTCCCAATATCCCATCCAGCCCTGCCCTCTGGCACTGGAAGCCATCTGGGTCCCTGTGCCCTGTCCCTCCAGGCCTTGTCCAAAGTCCTGAGCTCCTGAGACAGGGACCTGCTCAAGTGGGTTCATTCCATCAGGAGCAGCTCCAGAGTGTCCTTCCAGAGCTCGAGGCACTACCAGGGAACAACTCATTCAGTAGGAAACTCATCAGGGCACATCCCACAGAAACAGCCTGGGATGCAGCACCCACCTCCTCAATTTATTCAAGGCTGTTTTGTCTCTAATGCACAAAACAACAATCTGAAAGGTCCTCAAGTCACTGACCATGGCAGCTTCACCCTCTTGGTGGCCTCACAGGGAGTCCCCAAGGACACCTGGGGCTGTCACTGCCTCCTGCAGCAATATCACTTAAATCCAGGGATGCAAAAGCCGGAACACAATGACCTGTCCCACACAAACCCATCACTCCCCTCCCACCATGGAACCACTGACAGTCCCAACCCACTCTGGTGTAAAACAGCAAAGAGCATCGAGGTCTGTGATACATTTCCTAAGAGGAAATCACACCACTGGCACCTCTCTCCCATAACTTAGGAAAGAATATAACAATTCCAACTGGTTGGATTGCCCAGGACAGGCAGAGGACAAAGACTGGCACCAAAAATACAGCCTGACCCCACAGCCTGTCATGCACAAGCTGGAAGGACTCTCACCACTTGAAAATCTGGATATTCAATGTTTGCGTCCTTTGGAAATCTTTCCATTCCCTCTCTCATTTTAGCTATAAAGTTACTCCTCAAAATACAAGAAAAGTTGAAATTCTGTTTGGGGAAAAAAATAAACAAAACAAACTTAACACAGACTTGTTTTTTCTCTGAGAAAAAGCCCAGGAACCATTTTCACGTCTCCTGTGTAAAGTGCTGAATGAAACTAAGGATCTACTCAGAAATGCAATTAGCAGAGCAACTCTTCTTTTCAAAGAAGAAAAAAATAAAGTATTTAAATATTTCAAGCATTCTGGTGACATCACTCTATTCAACTTCACCTTCAAAACTTACTCCAACCAGCACAGCCACCAGCAGCAATACCCATCAGTCCTTTACTTTTCCAGCCTTTTTCTGGTGGGCTCCAGATAAGTTATCTTCTCAACACAAGTCTTATTCTTTAACTAGTGTGGGTGAAAAATTTCTCTTTAAAACAAGGAAAAAAAACAACAAAAAACAACCAAAACTCAACTATTTCAACTCAGTCACGACTGGACACTTGGAAAATGAAGTTAAAAGCTAAAGAAAAGCACCTTTCAAGCTGTATTACATTAAAACACTTCAGCTGTGATCTATGAAAGGCTAAAAGCAAAACTTACTGTGTTTTAAAACCTGTCTGGCTTTAAACAATTCAAAAGCTGGAATTAAAACTCTGCAGTTCCTTTAGGCTTCGGACACCTGCAGCTCCACAGCCACTTTTAACCACAGAATCCAACACCCCCAGCACAATCCTCTCTTCAATAAAAATCCAAAATCCACAGGGAAATGAAAACCCTCTCCAAAGCCAATCTGAGCTTTCTGCACATATTCCAGAGGCAGATGTGCCAGGACTCGGGTCTCCTGTTCAATGAATGGTGACCACGTGAAAGCCTCCCTGGAGAAGTCGCTTCTCTCCAGCTGCACCCCCCAAACCTCGACCTCACCCCGCAGGAAGGCAGAAACTTCACGAAGAGTTACCTGAGGTGCCCGGGGTCAATAAACACTGCAGATATTTGTTCATGCCGGAGCCACGGCGGCCGGGGCTGGAGGCAGCACGCGGTGCCCGGCTGCTGACACAGCGCTCTGCGGGGCCGGGCAGGACCTGCCCGAGTCCCGCCTTCACCCCCGTGCGCTCCCAGCTCCGTGGGGCTCAGAGTGTCCGCAAGGGCTTCCCGATCCCGCTCCTCTCTCCTAGCGCTGCTGCCCTCACCTTGGGGGAGTTTCTGACCTCCTCCTCTTCCTCTCCCCACCTGCAGCTGCTCTCGGCTCGGTCTGAGCTCCGCACATTGGTGTGTGCGGTGGTTCCCCAAAAATCCATCCCCCGGCCGTGCTGTGCCCTGAGCCCGACCCAAACCCCCGTCCCCGGCTCTCCAGCCCCGCTGTGGCAGCAGGGGAGGAGGTGGCAGGGCTGGGACACAGCCGGGCCCTGCCTGTCGCTGCCTGCCCCAGCCCACGGGAGCCGCCCGGCGCCTCCGCCTCGCCCAGCGCAGGGAACACGCTCCGGGAAACCCTGCATTAGTGAATTGTGCTTCCCACTGCCGCGGCGGGGCTTGGCTGGAGATTAAAAACATAAAACAGAGTAAGTGTTCAAATGTCAGGGAAGATATCCCACAGCGGAGAGGGAGGTGTCCGGAGAGCAGACAAAAGGCTCGGGCAGAGAGGAGCCGGGGACTCACCAGCACTGGCACAAATCCAGCTGTGCCAAGCCCAAAATCCTGCTGGCTTGATGGAGATCTGCTCCCACCTCCTGCTTTCCACACATCTGGAACTGCCCCACGTGGGGAGGCTCGGATTCGGGGTGTAATCTCCCCACAGCCACCAAAGGAAAGACCAAAAATGGGAAGTGTCCTGTAAAATCCTGGCACAAAGGGCACCTGCACCTGCCCACCCCCAGGAAACTGCCCCAACCGACAGTGCAGGGAAACCACCACAAACCCTTGAAAAGAACTGCTTTTCAAACTGCTGAAAAGATACATCCCGACCTCACCACCAATTGATTTTTCACTCTTCATTTCAAAACTTGATTAAAAATAAAATCCACTGGGGTGGCATTTCGGTAATTATTCTCCCAAACACAAATATGGGGGAAAGCAGAATTGATGCCCCCTCCCAGTTCACAGACTGGAGCACCCAACACTGAACACCTGCTTTGATCTGTCAGTGAAATGATACTGAAAACACATCATGGGTTTCCTCTTCTGCTGTAGCAAACACAGTAATAAAAATTCTTTGCTGAGATGATCTTAAACAACAGCAATTCCAGGAAAGGAAAGATACCAGAAAAGAACTTTTTTCATCTCTTCTACACATAGTTGTGGACATGGCCTGCAATGTGAGTCATGGCAAGGCTCAAAATCCCAGCCTTTGCCAAGGCTGCTCCCACCAACCAGGCACAGCCCCTCAGCAAAGTGCCAGAACCTGACAATGGCTCTGACCCAGTGTTGACATGTGAGCTGATTAAAGCTGGGTTTTAACTTTTAAAGAGCCTTTTAAGGTTTTACCAAGTATCACAGAACCACAGAATGTCCTGAGTGGGAAGGGACCCCCAGGGATGATCAATGCAGCCCCTGACCCTGCCCAGACCCCCCAACAAGCCCACCCTGAGCATCCCTGAGAGCGCTGCCTGGGGAGCCTGGGCAGTGCCAGCAGCCTCGGGGGGATCATCCTACTCACAGCCATCCTATGTGGCTGCTTTTGTGCAGAGGAAGGGAGAGGTGAAGTGCCTCCCTGCACCAGTGACAGGATCCAGGGCTCAAGCTGGGGAGGTAAGCCCAAGGATTTCTCCACACTTGATCGGAGCCCAACAGTGTTGCAGCAGCTCGCTGTGTCAATCACACAGAGGAGCAGAACTCTGTCCCTGACACCTTCCACAGATTTGATCCAGGTCTAACCTGCAAAGCTTTGTACACCCAAAGAGAAAATCCACACAGCAAGAAAACTGCTCCACAAGCTTTGGACCACATCAGGAAACTGCTGAGCAGCTCAGTAGTCTCCACTACAGAACAAAGTACTTGAGGCAGGGTGCTGAAAGCCTGGCTGGCTCTTCCCATCCCACAAGAACACAAGGATCAGGACCTAAGGGAGTGGCTGGAGCTGTGCCAGGGATTGGGATGGGTCTCAGGGCAAGGTTCTTCCCCCCGAGGCTGCTGGCACTGCCCAGGCTCCCCAGGGAATGGGCCCGGCCCCAAGGCTGCCAGAGCTCCAGGAGCGTTTGGACAGCGCTCTCAGGGATGCTCAGGGTGGGCTTGTTGGGGGGTCCGGGCAGGGCCAGGGGCTGCACTGATGATCCCTGGGGATCCCTTCCAGCTCAGGACATTCCAGGATTCTGTGATCAGTGCAGACAAAAGAGCTCAGAGCTCCAGACCTGGAAGCAGCTTTCTGCTCTGGGCTCAAAAACATCCACCTCCGAAACAGCCCCTGACAGCATCAAACCAGCAAACCAGGGCTGCCTTACCTTAAGATATTTATGAAGAGCTGTATTATGCCTCTTTTATGTCTTTCAGCATACTCAGGACCCCGACTTTAAAGAGAGACCTATTTTTCCCCTCTACAGCTCTTAAAAAGACGCTTTTAGGACTGAAGGCAGCTCTTCCCTCCTCCTTACAGCGCACGCTTTCAAAGCACTTCACACACATTCAATAATCTTTTCATCCTGCTCTGAAGCAGGTGGGTTTTAGGCATCTCAGAGATGGAAAAAGCACTTCAGCCAAGTCAGGATGAGAATTTTCAATCTCCAGATTCCCAGTCCTGGACAGAAAACCCCATCAGCCTCAGTGCTCAGCCAGCACAGAATTTTCACAAACCTTCAATGCAGCCACATTCTGTTACCACACAGGCAACAGATCCCTGCTACAAAACACAGGAATAGATTTCCCACAGCAAGCATTCCATGTTTGAGACTCCAGTTCAAACATGTCCCTCACTCAACATGTTTGTATTCATGGACCTTCTTCCAGACAGGAAGGAAAGGGAATGCCTGACACATCCAGAGAGCAGCAGTTGGGGAAAACTCAGTCCTCCTGCTCCTGCAGATCTCCAAGGGGCATGGAGGGCTCTGCATCACTGTCCCCCAGTGCCTGGGAGCACATGAGTGCTGTATGAAAAACAGGGATCATGTTATGAACACCTGAACCTTGGGAAGTCTGGAGCGGTGAGGGTGGGCAAAAACAGGGGGAGAACAGTGCTACATCCCACTAATTCCTCTTTTCATGTCCTCTCTGCTCCATCTGGCACGTATCCACAGTCCCCTCCCCATCCCCAACCTGCCAGGGCCAGCTCCACTTGCAGTTTTCAAAAGCTCCTTTCAAAGCCAAGAAATTGCACCAAGAGTTTTGGGGTTCCTGCCAATCCTCCGGTGATCCTCAAACATCAAAGCCAGCCCCAGCCTCAAATCAATATGCTTAGCAGGCTGCTCCTTTAGATGTTATCCTTTTTTTCTAGGCACCATCCCAGAAAACACCAATCTGTTCTGTAGCTCTTGGTGTAGAAACCCACCTGCCTTGGCAAAAAAATGACGCTTTTAAAGCTGCTCTATCGAGTGATGTGATTAAATAGGTCAGATCTGCCCACGTGCATGGTTAGGAGGCTACTTCAAAACAAGACAGGCAGTTTCCCTGGCAGGGAGCAAGCCCTGGGGGATGGAGAACCTGCTCCCAGAAGATGGTTGCCTGGTTCTGGCTGAGCTACTACACCCTCTAGTGTAAATCCTACAGATCCTTCCAGGAGACAGGAGCCTCAGGCAGGCAGGGAAATGACAGGAGCACTTCAACCAGAATCCTTCCCAGGAAGCTGAGCCAAGCCCTGCAAAGTAACTGCAAAAGTGTCTCATTTGTCTACAGGAATCACGAACATTTTGTGACCCGCTGGAGTCTGTTTTATAAGCCTAAGATTGCAGCAGGTCCATCACTTATCTCCCATTTCTCAATTGCAATCACAGAATCCCAGAATGGTTTGGGTTGGGAGGGACCTTGAAGCTCATCCAGCCCCACCCCTGCCATGGCAGGGACACCTTCCACCATCCCAGGCTGCTCCAAGCCCCATCCAGCCTGGCCTTGGGCACTGCCAGGGATCCAGGGGCAGCCACAGCTGCTCTGGGCACCCTGTGCCAGGGCCTGCCCACCCTCCCAGCCAACAATTCCTTCCCAATATCCCATCCAGCCCTGCCCTCTGGCACTGGGAGCCATTCCCTGTGTCCTGTCCCTGCAGGCCTTGTCCCCAGTCCCTCTCCAGCTCTCCTGGAGCCCCTTTAGGCCCTGCAAGGGGCTCTGAGCTTTCCCTGTAGCCTTCTCTTCTCCAGGTGAGCACCCCCAGCTCTCCCAGCCTGGCTCCAGAGCAGAGGGGCTCCAGCCCTTGGAGGATCTCTGTAACCCTCTCTGGACTGGCTCTGACGGCTCCCCATCCTTGTCGTGTTCGAGGCCCAGACCTGAAGACAGATCTTCAGGTAGAGTCAACACAGAATCAACATTAAAAAATGCCTGGAGGTGAACCCTGAGCTCAGACAGAACTCACAGATCCCTGTAATGCCAGCTGTGCCGTGTGCTGGATGCCAAGAGTTTGGGAAAGAGGCAGTAACAGGCTCTGAGCCGGCGGCAGGGAGCGGGAGGCAGTGCCTGGAGTTCAGTCTTGTGATCCTGCTTCTTTCACAAGTGGCAAAAACTTCTTGGGAAACCAGGCCCATACTATGGGTTTTATTTGCCAAAAAAATTTTCTCTAAGTGCTGTAGATTACGTTGGAAATTAAGAAAAATTCCTTCATAGGAAAAGTTGTCAAGCAGTAGAAGGGATTGCCTGGGGCAGTGGTGCAGTCCCCATCCCTGGAAGTGTCCAAACATGTGGATATGGCTCTTGAGAACGTGGGTTAGTGGTGACCACAATGGTTGAAGGCTGAATTTGATGAACTTGGAGGGCTTTTCCAACCTTAACAATTCCATAATTGTGAGTAAACTCTAACTCCCCAAAACTCAGGCTGCTTCTCCTGTGTCTCTGACACACCCAGGCCAAGCCTAGCAAGGCATTGGGGTATTTTTCTTGCCCTTCA